TGCTCTTCAGAACAATATGGCTGGCTATAAGAATTACAGTACACTCGACTTGGTCGATGGGTATTACCAATTGCTTGTAAGAGCGAGTGATAATCCGCTGACAGCGGTGGGACCCCGAGCGGCATGCTCTGGGAGTGGCTGGTGATGTCCTAAAGGCTGTCAAATGCACTAGCAGCATTTAATCGTCTTAGAACACAGTTGTGCAGGCCACCGGGCGTATGCACAAACATACTTCGACGACATCTTCGTCCATAGTCGTGCGGGGCACGGGAGTACCACATCGTCCATTTGAGAGCGGTGCTCGAGACATGCACACGAATAAGCTGTATGCTAATGCAGATAAGTGCATCTTCGGCGCTGAAGATACTATCTTTCTCGGGGTGCTTCATTGGATAGCGTGGCCTTCGAGCGGATCCGCCTTAGGCAAGGCCATTGTGGACTGGCCGGTTCCAAAGAACCGACTTGCGCAAGTGGCTTGGCTTCGAAAACTACTTGCACAAGTGTAGCGCAAATTATGCAGAAATGGCTCGGCCATTGTTGAATCTCCTTAAGAAGGATGTAAAATGGCGTTGGGACACCGAGCATCGGGAGGCTTCGACAGTGTCAAAGACAGCCTCCTTCATGCACCAATACTGGCGTTGCCAGACCCCGATCGTCCCATAAGTGTCGTCTGAGGCTTCGGACTTTGTCATCAGGTGTGCACTGCTACGCCGAGGGGCGAGATCGGGTATCGCGTTCGAATATCGCCAGCTTAAGGCTGCGGAGAAGAACCACTCAGTCTTTGACAAGAAATTACTTGCGATAAAGTATGCACTTGTCAAGTTCAGGGTGCACCTACTTGGTTCAAATCCGTTTGTGATCTACACGGATCATGCGTCACTATTCACTGCGAGTCAGTCGCCTCATCTATCGTATAGGATGGCCAGGTGGCTCACCTACTTCACAGAATGTAACATCGAGGTGAAGTATAAGCCAGGAAAGCAGAATGCTCTGACTGATGCGTTGTCACGCAGAACGGATTATGAGCTTGCTCATGTCACGACCGTGACGTCGTCAGTGACGGGTTTGATCCGCGCCGTATTCGCGGATGGTGCTATGTGTGTAGCGCTGCTACAGGCTCTCGGGAGCAAGGCGTTTGGAAACTCAGACGAGAAGTTGTCGGCGCGATTGCCTGCACGGTTACAACGATATTCGTTGAATAACGGATTGCTGTATTATAACACCGATTCGACTGATACAACAAGAATTGTGATTTCTCTCACTGTGGGTTTATAATACCGTATCCACTATGAGGCCCACGACACGCCACTCAGTAGTCATCACAGTCGTGAAAAGACCTACAGCTCGGTTAGTTGCCACTACTGGTATCCAAAGCTGTACAAATGGACGAGCAGATATGTGCGCACGTGTAAGACGTGTCAAAGGGTGAAATCCTCTCCGTATGCGGCGGCGCTGCTGGCCAATTTAGCGATACCCTCCAGGGGTTGGTAGTCCATGAATATGAACGTTGTCTTTGGCTTGCCGAAGTACTTGGCAGGCAACACGGGTGCGGTGGTCTTTGTGGGCCGTTTGAGCGAGATGGATTATCTTGCGGCAGTGCCGGACACCATCGACGGTGTGGGTACAGCGACGCCGTTTGTCAAATGTGTATTTCGACAAAATGGACTCTCGAAGTTAACTGTCTATGACAGAGACCCACGATTCACTGGGAAAATTTGGTCGGCAATTTTCAGGGTGCTGAGCACAAGCTGACCATGTCAACGGCGGACCATTCGCAGACCGATGGTCAAACTGAGCGCGCGAATTGTGTCGTTGGAGACATTATTCGCAGCGTCAGCGCTGCGACGCCGACACACTGATGCGCCTTGCTGCCTTATGTGGAGTACGCTCTAAAGAATGCAGTGCATGCATCTACCGGCTACACGTCGTTCTACGTAAACGGCTTTCTATTCCTCGCGTTCCGCTGACACCGCTATCTTATGGCTCAGGGCTTGCTAGGGGAGGAATAGCCGGACGGCTAGCTGATGTTAGCCCCCTCACTGTCTATAAAGATGTTTCTTCTAGACTGAGTTTCTTTCGTCACGTTCGCGATGCGATGGCTGAAAACCAAGACATGCGAAAGGAATACGCAGGTCGGAAGAATAAAAAAAAGTTGAAAACATTGCGGTCAATGACCTTATTATATTAAATGCTAAACAGCATCTTACACGTGCAGTTTGCTGTCTCCAAGACGAAGCTCCGTCCACAGTTTATCGGACCTTTTTTTGTCGTGGTCAAGTGAGCTTCGCGTATACGCAAATCTCCCAAGAAGGATGCGCACCCATCCGGTGTTTTATGTGGGCTTGCTTAAGACGTACCGGGATCCGGCGCAAGAACGCGGAAGCGTTTGGCCACCCAGAAGCAGACCCAGCAACTAGTTTTGAGCACGGATTGCAACGATTTCCACGGAAGTCGAGAGGTCAGGAAATGGACACGGTATCTGCAAGGTTTGAGCAGGGCACACGTTGCGCCTTTGGCGCACCTCGCCCTCCTCGTTTTCCAATCCTGGAAAAGGAGTATCCGACTCGTAAAAATCGACTTCCTCTGAATCCTAGACGAGATAAT